CACTTTCCTACACGCAGGCAATACACACATACACATAAAATAAAAATAATAAATAAAACAATTAAATTTGATTAAAGCACCACAGGTGTAAGTCATGCCACTATCCCTCAGGAATTTCTAGGAAACATGGCTGTATCAGCCAGGGCTAACTTCAACATTTGCTTTAGTTCTTGAGATTAGGGGCAGCGATAAGAGAGCCATCTTATAACGTACTTCTGCATTACAGGAATCAGAGCATGTGGCTCATTGGAATAACGACACATATTTGCATTCTTTTGTCTCCTAATTGCAAAGAACTGTTGAGCTGGATAATTTAAACTCATTATAATACCACATTTAGCCTCTGCATGCTCACATGCCAGTGGTGTAAGTGAACAAATTGGCCAAGCATCTATTTTTAGCAAGTCCAAAAGATGAAAGACAAGCAACAACGAAAATACCCATTTAGTTGAGTAGCATTTCTTCTCTTAAAATTAGTGTGTTCTGATCACTGCTGGGTGAGGAAGAGCTGGTCTTCTTTAAGGGAGTGACTCTAGATAGGTTGACTAGATCCCAGTGGCTGAACATGCACTGAAGGAACTCAGGGCACACTAACTTGATTTGATAGGCCTTACCATAAATGACAATGCATGAAACCCAGTGGGGGGTGGGGGGTGGGAGGGTGCCAGTGGGGATGAGGGTATAAAGATAATTAAGATCTTGTGTGTAAGATACACAAAAATTCAATAAAACATTAGTATGTTCTGAACTAAAACATATGAGCTGAGGAGAGGTGCTATTTCTAGAGTTTTCGATACATTTCTGATGGTTTTGCATATTGTACTAATGATAGCAACAGCAAATTTAAATAAATGATCAATATCTCTACGAAATCAGATCCATCTCCAAATCAGGGAGGAAATAGAAAACTGACAGGAGCATCCCAGCTCTCTACAGAGTTCGAGAAGTGCCGCTTCTGTTCTTTGCTTCCATGGCGTGCAGCGGGCAAAGGGCCCCCATCAGATGTGTGCTTAGCTCTGAGGGTGATAAGTGATTTCACTGAAGTTGGTTGCCTGGCAAGTATGAGATAATTTAGTGAAGAAAAATTAGGTTGTCATGTTTTTCTTTATCGAAAATTGCTTTTTAGCTGCGTGCCCTGCATATCGCTGCCATTAAATCTGGGATCACAGTGGCCTGAACTCATCTAACCAGTGACAGGAGCAGCCTCACAGTGTGGCAAAAATAAGTCTTTGACTTAAAATCTTTTGTTTTTGATGAAGTCAAAGCATCATTTTCACATGTAAAGAGGAGCATGATTTTAAGCTACACAGCTAATTTCTCTCCACAGGTATGAACAACTCCTGTTCCTTCAGATGACCTATCATGGGAACTTTCGACTCAGTGGCCCTCATTCTACATAATGGTGCCCACAGGAGCAAGTCACCACAGAAACAAGTGAGTTCAAGAAGCCCCAGTGGCAGTGCTTTACAGCAGTCCCACAAATGAATGTAAACTATAATCTCTCTGGGGTATTTGAAGATGGCAGACTGAAGACAGTGAATGATTTCCTTTACCCTAATGTTCCATTCATTACACACACTTATCTCCCTTAATTCAAATATTCTTTTGGAAGTAACCCATAATAAAACCCTGCAAATCAGAGTGGCTCCACTTACAGAAATGGCAGAGGATTATCAGGTAACAGCTATTAAATTTTGACACCCCAAAAGAAATCACTTCCAGGGTACTGGAGAGGGACCCAGCGCAAAGAGAAACTGAGGGAAGCTGACACTTGAAAGGAGTGGTTTTTCACGTAAGTGAGTCAGTGCTGCAGGGTAGCTAAGGTCCAGGCAGGATTCCTCAGTCTTGCTGGGGGAGTCTATAGCCACCAGAACAGCACAACTGGAAAAGGAGGATAAAATCTTCAAGAGAAGCGAGCCCCAGGTAGAAACTCATATGATGCACAAGGTTACCACCAAATCTTCATCTTACCTCTGCACTGTGTGTTTGCATAAAGCACAGTCCTGCCAACCCAGGTAAGGTAGGGGCTGCCTGACTCTGCAGCTAGAAATGACAGTGATTGGAGCTTGAATTCAGCCAAGTTACTTGCATTTATACATACATATGTGTATATGTAATATATAAAATGGAATATAAATATTTTGCTTTATATTTAAGCATAATAAATGTCATATTTACATATATAAATATACATTGTAGTATAAATATATGTATTTACCACTTTAGATTTCACAGAGACTCTGCAACGTAGCTGACAAAGCAAGAATCCAGACCTTCCTTTATGCTTCCCCAGGGCTTTTCATCAAGGGCTAAGGAACTTGCAGAATTAGAAAACCTATAGGCATCTAAGAACAGTAGAAGGGAAAAGACCGTGATTGGGTCAGGGAGCAGACTTTGCAGCTTGGCCTAGTGGCCACCAGAAGCACTATGTTTTATAGCTCAGCTCAGTGCAGGGAGGTGAAAAGCCCCAGGAAGGATCTGGGAAAGGGAAGAGGTAGGCAACACCCATCACACTGACTCTTCCAGGGAATACTCAGAGGACTAAGCTGTCTTTTTGTACTAATGATGGTCAGTGAGAAGAATGGCAGAAGGCTGATCTAGCATAGAGCCTGTCAGTGTAGCATATGTTCCTCCAAAGAGATGGGATGGGGAAAGACTCTTAATATCAGCTTCTCCTGGGGAACGAAGGAGCTACAGGAGGACTCCAGTGATCAGCTTTATCTGAGGGTGGTCTGAGGCACATGACTCGGTCCTGCTTGTCTCTAAGTGCTAAGAGGACTCAGCATGCCTGAGACACCTTGGAGGTGCTTAAAGCAAAGAAACAGACTAGCACCAAGGTTGGTGAGGCTCTAGAGTGTCTAGCCAGGATGACTGGTGAACATGGCTGGCTCATGAAGTCTGGGAGACACTGATAGTTAGATCTTCAATGTCATGCCAAGACCCATGTGTTAAAAGGCTTGGTCCCCAGCATGGTACCATTGGAAGATGGGTTGTTATGTGAAGTCCTCAGGTCATTGAAGGTATACCCTTGAAGGGGATTGTGGAATCCAACCACTTCCTTTTCTTTTTGCTCTCTGCCTTGTGGTATGGCTGGTTTTACTCTGCCATATACTACTGCATGACATGCCACCTTGCCACAGGCCCCAAGAAACCAACTGATCACAGACTAGAATCTCTAAAACTGTGGGCCAAAATACACCTATTTTTCATTATAAGTTGGCTGTGTCAGGTGTTTTGTAATAATGACAGCTGAATTCCAGAAGGAAGATATTTTGTGTAATGTACCCACCAATATAAAGAATAAAGAAAATAAGTAAATATGTCCAAAGGAAAAAAAAACATGATTACAAACAAACCCAAATGAAATGGAATTGCATGACTTATCTGCCAGTGTCTTAAAAATAACTGTAAAGATGTTCACCAAATTCAAAGGAGTAACACATGAACAAAGTGAAATTCAATGAATAGAACAGACAGAAAACACAAAAAGTACCAGGCAGAAATAATGGAGCTGAGGACCACAATGATTGAACTGAAAAATTCCTCAAATGACCAAACAGCAGACTAGATAAAGTATGAGAAACACTCAGTAAACTTGAAGACACATTACTAGAAATTATTCTACCAAAGGAGCAAAAACACAAAGGAAGAGAAAGAAGCTTAAGATACTCATGTGACACCATCAAGTAGACTAAGGTATACAATGAAGCATCAGAAGAAAGAAGGACTCCAAAATGTCCAACTGTGGGGAAAGAAGTAGACAAACCCAGCCAGCCCAGACGATCCCGGCCCCCCAACACATACAGAATAACAAAGAAGTACATACCAAGCCACATTATAAGTAAACCTTCAAAAGACAAAGACAGTGAGAATTTTGAAAGCAGTAGAACAAGTGACTTGGGTATACTCATGTCTGGGAACTGATCTAATTATTAAAAATCTTACATTCAATGGGGATGAGAGAGGTGCATTCATGCTAAAAGAAGCTTAGTGATAGGAATGATGCCCCAGTCACTCAGTCAAGGATACAGGCTCTGGATTCATAGCCCCTGTTCTTCAAGATTAATCTCACAGGTGATATCAAAAATGAAACCTTTAAGCCAGCTAATGACACAGGCCTCTAATGTCAGCCACTCTGGAGTCTGAGACAGAAGGACCACAAGGTCAGGAACAGCCTATAGAATGAGCTCAAGCTTGGTATACTTAGTGAGACCTTGTCTCACAATGGAAAATAGAAACAAGACTTAAGATACAGCTCAGTGGTAGAGTATCAAGAAGGCCCTAATGCCGAAAAAGATTAAATATCAAAAGCTTAAGGAAGCATGAACACAAAGAAACAGGGGACAAAGGGCAGGAAGTGGAGATCAGTTCAATTAAAATCTTCTCAGATATCTCAGAGGTAGGTGAAGCTATAAGCTCACACTGGTGGGCCACCATTGCATCTGTCTGGGGCACTAAAACCTGGGAATACCCACTGGTATTGGGAAAGTGTATTCTAATGTATTTTGATTTGAACAGTTTTACTCAAGTAACACAAACTTCTAACTTGAATGTTCTGAGTGTGTAGTGACAACAGACACAATAGGCAAGGTCACTGTTCTTATGGAAGAGTCTACAAGAAGAGTCAGCATTGTTATGCAATAAAAAACTTATTGGCTTGGCTCAAAGCTGGGAGTCTACTTGGAGATGATGGTTTGTAACTTGAGACATGAAAAGCTTGGGAGAGGGGCTGACAGCGAAGATATGAGGAAACATTTTCAAAGGAGCACATTCTATACTGTTCTGCATCTCCACATACATTACCAGTTTACCCTAATTTGTGATGCATACTAAACAGGAGTTCATGTCATCCATTTACAAACAGGTATGCAGAGGACCAAACACTTCCTGGCATTCCCAAACCGATTGCATCCTATCACACACATAGACAGAACCGAGTTCTGAGTGCATGTGGATTTGATCCCCAACGCACACCAACAGCACTTACGAAAATAACTTACAGCTGCCAAATTTCAGAGGGCAAGCGTGGGCATCCATCGGGAAGTCCTCAAGCTGCATGGGGCACTCGGCAGAGATAGTCAGACTGAAAAGTAAGAGGAGATTGTTAAAGGGCCCACCTCTTCCTCCCATATGACCATTTGTATGAATTTTGATTAATATCATTTGTGAAACTGTCTGACTCTTCCCACTAAATTGCAAATATGTTTGTGTTGTAAATGCATATTATTGAGAATGAAGGGTAGATCAAAGCATTTAGGAATTCTGTGGCTTGATGTGTGTGTGCGCCTATGGATGTACTATTGTTTATAAAATTACTTAAGATGCCTTTAAAATTATTAATTTATTGTTCCCCACCCCTTCCCTATCAACCTTGACAAGGCTGAAAATACATAATTTTTGTTAAATACTTTATATATTCAAAAACATAAATGTAAGATAATTGCACAAATTTTGACCAGAACCTACTATTCTCACTGCTTAATTGGCTGTAAATGAACTTGCATTACAAGTGCAATTTTCTGGTACAACCTGATTATTATTATTCTGATTCAAGCCTAGTTTAAAATCATTCCATAAGAGTATCACCAACCACTGCCACTGTCACCAACCAAAATGCTGATGGCCAGGGCAGCTGAGGTTGGTGCTGTGTTAACTCCTATCATCATGGCAACTGATGCAGGTGCCAGGCCCCATGTGAGAACTCTGGCTGTGTTAACTCCCATCATCACAGCAGGTGATGTTGGTGCCAGGTCCTGTGTGAGCTGTGAGCATGCCAACCACATTAACTCCCATCACCACAGTAATTTGAGATCTGCCACTGCTCTCCCGGTGTCTCACAGTGGAAGTGAAGCCCAGAATGCAGTTTCTCAGTGGTGGAGCCATGGCTAGAGCTTGGGCTGCTGGCCTCTGCCTGCACAGAAGCCCCTAAAGCATGCAGCACCTGTACCAAGGCTACAGGCTCTGCTTGGTACTTAGAGTTACCATCCTGTGTGGCTGCGGTGGTCTGCACATCCCTAAAGGTTCCCACAGTGGAGGTCTTTAGTATGGTAGTATAGAGGTGGCAAAGCCTTAAAGGGGTGGAGCCCAGTAGATAATGATTATTAGGTCACTCAGGGTACCATGTTGAGAGGGATTAATATAGTTTTTGAGGGACCCCAGTAATTCCCTCAGGAGTGGGTTGTTACAGAGTGCCAGGCTTGCCCCTGAATTCCTTTGGCTTCCTATTTCCTCTTCCACACATTCCTGCTATTATGAGGGGAGCCTTCAATAGAGAGGTTACATACACAAATGGGGCTACCTGACCTAGGATTTTCAGCCTCCAAAGCAGGACCTAAATAAACCTCTTCTCTTTGTCCATCACCTAGCATCAGGCATTTTGTTGTAGAAACAAAATGCAGGCTAATACAAGGGCTTTTATGTCTTCACAGACTTTTATTAATTAGTCAAAATTCTAAATTGTACTAATGAGGTTATTGTCTGTTTCTAATGTTCCTTTCCATCATTTAAAGTAAAATTATATAAAATGAAATCAAAATATGAAATATTTGATTTATTATGCAAGCTATAATCCCATTTTAGAGCCAATAATAAATAATTCAGTGCTGTCCATTGCTCATTATATTAAGCCTGTGTTCTCAGGATGCAATAAAAATGCAGTGACATTCATTTTGCCTTTGCTACTTCCTCTTGTTGAAACAGATTAGCCTGCTGCTGTTAAATTGGTAACATAAATCACAGGTGACTGCTGCAGTCTGAATAGCCAGTCTGTCCATCCTCCAAATAAATGAGCAGGACGGAAATGTGTGCCCATCAAGAAGGGGAAGTTCTCTGTTGCCAGGAGAGTGTCCAGAGATGGAATGAGTCAAGGGTCACAAGTGCAGGTGACCAGACAGGCTATCAATTCTCAGGTTCAGATGGGCATATGACTCTGAAAATTACATTCTGTACACATTCATAGAACAGGAGAAACGCAGAAAAAGTTTTTCAGTGGCTCCTTTTCACTTAAAATGTCATCTGGTGCATGTAATCTGGAGTTCTTCCATATGCACATATCCTTCCTTTCTGTGCTTGGCATAAAAATGTAGTCTTTTACACTGACACTCAAGCAGAACTATTTCCCACATCACTAAAATCTCTAAATAGTCACGGCTTTGGGAGGGTAACTTTTAAAATTCCAGTGTGCATGTCTATTGGCACACCTAATAACCACCAGATGTTTCTAGACTTCACATTATTTAACAGGATCAATCACCTGCAATCAACTTCTTCAGCCACAGACTATAGAAGAGGGCTATTGTAAGAGACTCTGAAATGGCAATGTAGAGATTAACTTACTATAATTAGGAAATTAGGGATGCAAAAAGCACAGCCTTTAATAGTATCCAGCCAACAAAGAAAATGAAGTCACTTTATGTGATTGTTAGAAGCCTAAGCAGTGAGCTGGGTAGACAACAATGAAGAGAGAATTTCAATGAGAGGGAACCAGAAGCACATTAAGTAGTAATGATAAGAACAACGTGAAAATGAGCACATGAAAAGAGAGAGCTGTGGAAGTTGTGTGATTCCATGGCTTCTATTCAGACAGTTCACAGTTCATAGATGCAGGTGTGATAGGAACACTGGGTCCCATCAATGGGAGCAGTGTACGGGGAGAGGATGGATCAGGTGACCCTATCCTAAGTCAGCTACAGCAATGAAGACTTCAACCAGCAGACTCAGCTCTAGGCCACCCCCTAATAACATGGGCAACTTCCTGGGCCCCGTTTTCCTTTCCACCAGGGTAGATGTGAAATGGTACCCACAGCAGAGACCCCCTGCCACTATCAAGTCTACCAGCTCTCTTAACTGGGTTCTTACCCCATCATATACTCAACTTCCCACTGGATTGCCTGGAAGCAAGGGATTCATCTGAGTTTCTCACAATGTGGTGAGCTCTTTTCCCTCTTCCTCTGAGCTGGTTTTCTGCTTTGTTCACATGGCCACTGTGGGTTCACATCTAGAATTTCTATGGTTTGTCTCTAATTGTCAAAGGAAATCCCCCAGAAACCTGACTTTCCCTTGAGTACTCTGTTCGAAGCTAGCATATTCCTCCTCCTTTGCTGGCCAAGAACATGGGAATCAGGAGGGCCAGATCTCCAGAGGCCAGGGCAGAGACACTGCAGCTGTTGCCCTGAGAGCTGTCCACCTTCAAACACCATTGTCCTAGAACCGTCAAAGGTGATATTCTAGTGAGACGTGTCCACAAAGGAGCCTACCTTCAGCATGTTGTGGGAATGAGCAATTATGCAGTATGGATATACAGAGCAGGGGGCAGAGGTAACAGGGAGACAGAATTCAGCTGGTATTTTTAAAAATATTTTATTTATTATTATTTTTATGTGTATGTGTGTACTGCCTGCATGTAGGTAAGTGCACCAGTGTCATGCAATGCCCGCAGAGGACTGAAGAGTCTGTCAGAGTCCCTGGAATTGGAATTACAGACAGTTGTTAGCTGCCATGTGGGTGCTGAGATTTGAACCTGGGTCTTCTGCAAGAACAGCCAGTATTCTTACTGCTGAGTGTTCCAGCCCTTCATCTGGGTATTTTTTAAGACCCTGTAAAAACATTTTCAGCTAAAACATAAAAGACAGTGATTTCTAGAATGCAACTACCATCTTAATAGATTGATCATTACTGATTTTTATAGAGCTCCTTAGAATTGGAGTCTGAAGACTCAAAATAGAACACTTCATCTGCAATACTATCTGTACTCTAACAAATAGAAATTCTTCAGATAAACCTCTCAAGAGCAAATGCTTCTGTCTCAGTAAGAACTTTAAATATTTGATACCAGTACCAGTATGCATTGTGCAACGGCCTGTGCTCACATCTCTATATATGGGGAGTCTTCTGATCAGGGCTTATGGGCATGTGCACTGATGGGTAACAACCTCCACATGGTATTCAGCTCAGAGCCCTTTATGGGATGGCTGACTGTTGTTAACTCAAAAGAGAGCCAGTTAAGTCACTTGCCCCCAAACCTTGCTTTCTTAGCTATAGTAAATGAAGCTCAAGAGGTAGAATCTTGCCTTTGGCGAAAATTCACTGAACTACTAAACCCAGGAACCCAGTATTTGTTTTCAAAAGGTCCTATTTGTGCTTTGCTTACAAATTCTGCAAAAACAATTCAAGGATTAACTTACTGAAGCATAATGTCCCATTTCTGAACAATTTAACTTTGGGGTAAGGAAGAGGCATTTTATAAGTTAAGAACTTTGTTCTGAATTGGTTTTATGTCACCCTAACTGGGGGAGTAGGATCTCAAACTCACTAGTAAAATTCCCATTTGGCCAGAGGGCATCTCACAGGTAGACGATACTTTAATATGCTTTAAACAATCATATTCTGATTATCTTTGTCACTAAATGTGTGATCTTGGTAAAAAGTGTCTAGCTTCTTTAGTTCAGTCTCCCAATTTAGAAAACAAATACAACAGTTGGTTTTATACGCTGAAACACATAGGTATGAAAAGAAGTTTAAAGAGCATTGACCAAGATTACAAGTTCAATGACAAGATAATTAAAGAAAGCTTCCAAAGTCTTAGCCAATATTTTCTTCAGATGTAAGATTTTCTTGTTTCCATGGAAATGCTGTATTCATGCAGGAGAAGGAGTGCTGGGGCCAGGCTGACAGCATTGCAAATATGTCTGTGAAAGAATGCGCAGCACTCCCAAACCTCTGATTATTCATGGCAAAAGGGTTTGTTGATATGATTAAGGCTCTCAGAGGCAGGGAGATTGCCCTGGACTGTCCACATGGGCCAGTATAACCCAATGGTCCTTGGAGGAGGGATTCAAGGGTGTGAGTTTCAAAGGAGACTCAATGATGACAGCAGACTTGAGTATGATGTGACCAAGAGCCTGGGGATTCAGGAGTCCCCCAGAAACTAGAAGCACATGTGAAATGATGTCACCAAGATCCTGGGAATGCAGGCGTCCTTCAGGAACTGGAAGAGACAGGATTCTCCTCTGGAACTCCCAGAAACACCACAAATGACTAACACTTTGGTTTTAGCCTAATGAGACGTTTGGGGTTCTTGACTTC